CCCGGACCGCGCCAGCCCGCAGTGGGGGCCCCGGGCGGCCCCTCGCTGCCCGCCGGAGACGGTGGCCGAGCGGGCGGGCGCGTAGACCCTCCGGGAAGGGCTTATTCTCTCGCTCCATTCTTATTTTTTTTCGGGGGGGGAGGGAGGGAGAGCCAGCGAGACGAGCTTTCGGGGCGCGCTGGTGAGGTGGGAGGGGGCGGGGGGGCCAGCCGACTGGCTTCTCCGGCGGATGTGTGGGAGCGGCGGAGGGGACAACAACTTGCTGGTTTTCAGGTTGGGTTAACGGCATGGAGAACAGTCACCCCCACCACCACCACCAGCAGCCCCCGCCGCAGCCCGGCCCTTCGGGCGAGAGAAGGAACCACCATTGGAGAAGTTACAAGTTGATGATTGACCCGGCTCTGAAGAAGGGGCACCATAAGCTGTACCGCTACGATGGGCAGCATTTCAGCCTGGCGGTGAGTGGCCGGCGCGCCTTCCCGCCACCCCCACCGCCCCCGTGGGGTCCCCAGACGGGGGCGGACAGAGGGGGACCCCTCTCCCAGCCACCTGGCCAACTGTCAGCCGGGGCCCCCCAGCCCGGAGGGGGGCGCCCGCCCCTGCCCCCGGGGGCGGCGCGGCCCTTCCACGCTGAGCCCCCCCCCCCCCCGTCCCTGCCCACAGATGTCCAGCAACCGCCCGGTGGAGATCGTGGAGGATCCCCGGGTGGTCGGAATCTGGACCAAAAACAAGGAGTTGGAGCTGTCGGTGCCCAAATTCAAGGTAGGACCCCTCCTCTCTGTCTTATGGTCCCTCCCCCCCCAACCCCCCTTCCCCGAGTTCGAAAATAACGCCAGTCCTGACCAAGCCCAGCCGAGTTCCCGCCGTTCAGGGCTGGGAAGTTTTGGCGGGGAGGGGGTACGGGGGTGACCCCTCCCGGCCACTGTAAACAAAATAACCCCCGGGGAAACTGTAACGAGGGCGCTGATACAGCGGCCAGCCGGCCCCCGGGTCCCCACCTGAGCCCTGCGCCCAGGGGCCTGGCTCGGGGACCCGCCCCCCTTTCCAGCCCTTTGCCCTTAAAGGGGGCAACTTCCTAGACCAGAGGGTCGCCCCGGAACCAGCAGCAAGGAAAAGAGGCCAGAGTAGGGGTGGGGAAAGAGAAACTGTTTCTTTTTCCCCTTTCCTTTCGAACTCAGAGGACTTCCAGGTTCCAAACGATTTAATCCTCTGCTTCCCAGGCCCGCCCGCATGCTTTTTTGTTTTGTTTTGTTTCTTTTCCAAAACATTAAAAAAAAAAAATCATCATTTATTGTTTTTAACTGCTGGGCGAGTGAGGACTGTCGTGTTTTCTCTCTGGTTTTAATGTTTTCCCAACTCCCTCCCCCCGCGGCCCCGGCCAGATCGATGAGTTCTACGTGGGCCCTGTGCCTCCAAAGCAGGTGACATTTGCCAAGCTGAATGACAACATCCGTGAAAACTTTCTAAGGGACATGTGCAAAAAGTATGGGGAGGTGGAGGAGGTGGAGATCCTGTATAATCCGAAGACCAAGAAGCACCTGGGCATTGCCAAGGTGGTCTTCGCCACCGTGAGGGGCGCCAAGGAGGCCGTCCAGCACTTGCACAGCACTTCTGTCATGGGCAACATCATCCACGTGGAACTGGACACCAAAGGTTAGTGGTGGCGGCCCGTGGGGGGGGCACCTGTCAGTCTGCATCCTCCTCCCTTCAGAGTTAGGAGAACCCCTCTCCTGGGGCCTCTTCCTTGGGACCCCCCCCCCCATCACCTTATTTATTTCTTGTCCCCTCCGGAGGGCAGAGTCACATGGAGCCAAATGTGTTGTCTGTTGCTAGGAGACAGGCTATAATTTACCAAATGTGCCAGCCCTTGGCCACTGCACCCTTAGGGACCACCCGGAGGCCTTCCCCCTACTACACCCCCGTGGGCCCCTCTCGACGAGCCCCAGCGGCCTCTGTTTAGAGAGTCCCTGCCTGTGTTAGGGGAGAAGGGAGGGTTTGTTTATTTATAGGGGGGCAGAGGGAGAACCCTGTGCCTTTAAATTCATAAAAATCGTTCCTTAAGGATCTAGGGTGCCATGCCCCCCACCCCCTACTGGTGCCCCTTCCCTGAACCAATCTGAGCCGGAGTGTTTCATTGATAATGTTAGGATAGCACTGATAGTGGATCTTGGGGGCGGGCTGCTCTGGGTGCTCAAGGGTTGACACTTGTCTTCCCTCCTCTCTCTTAAAGAGACAGCAGCACCTCTGTCTGCTCAGTCGGGCTGGGGAACCACACCTCCTTGTCCAGGGCTGCTGCCTCTCTCCTGGAGTCCTGCCTCAGGACTCGGGGAGAGGCCTGGCAAGACTCAGGAAGGCCTTCCCCCTAAGTTTCTAAAAGCTGCCGGCCAATCCAGGGGAAGGTGAAGGGCGCCCTGGGACCAGGCTGCCGGTGTGGGCCCACTGTTCAGCCAGAGCCGGGGAGGGGCCGCACCAGTGGACCTCGGATGGAGGCCCTGTGCAGCTCAGGGGCGTTGTGAGTGCCTGAGCACACCACCGGCAGGAGAGAAGAACTTTTTTGTTTTGCTCTTAATGGTGGGTCCTTGTTGACTCTCTCTTAAGACCATGTCGGGTGTTGGAAAGGGTTGTGGTAAACCTGAGGGGATTTGGTTACCTACTTGCAGAGCCTGAGCCTATTGTGCCTCTTTAGGACAGAAGCTTGTCATTTCTGTCCATTCTGCAGCTCTCTGGCTCCTCTCCCCCCATCCCCCCTCCCCGTTCCTCAAAGTCTACCAAATCGCTGTCCCCCATCCCTCCCTTCTCTGTGTGTGGAGACTTAATCCACTACCTCTTCTTACAGTAAGCTCGAGTCTGATTTCCCCCAAGACTGAGGCATGCTCACCTCCTCCCCCTCCCCTGCCCACATCTTAGGAAGCACCCACGTCTCCCCACAGTTTCATCTGTGGGGAAGAAGGGGTGTGGGGGAAGAAAAGACAGAAACACAGCCCTTGTATACTACCACCCATATTAGAGACTGTATTTCGAGAAAGAGACCAGCAAAGTGTAAAGCGTAGCTCCAGGAATGTACCTCCTTTGCATATGTAAGCAGCCACCTCTGCGGTCTATAAATACCAATAATCTGGGGCCTGGTTGGTAAACGTCGCTCTGCTGGGTGGAGAGCTAGGCACGGGGCTCACTGGGCTCGGCAGTCCCCAGGCAGACTTGGGGCCCTCTTGGGGCGTAAGCTAGTGGAAAGCACCACTCAGTTGGTCCGCAGGAATATGTGTTTGACAAACTTTGCTGGTCTTTTGGCCCCGGGTAGTTAAGTCGCCTCTGTGTCACCACACCTCCTCTGTGCAGCTACAGGCTGTGGCTGTTAAGCCTGGGGATGGGGCTGGCTCTGTCGTTAGGAACCATGCTCCAGGCAATGGAGAGAACCTGGCACTGAGGACGGACGGCATTTGGGGGGCTTTGGGGAACCTCTGCTCTAGAAAGACATTACCCTTAGCATCTCAGGATCAGAAAAGTCAGAAAAAAGAGTGTTGCCGCTTTACTGGACAGACGGGTGAGGCACCGAGAGAGGGTAGCAGCGTAATCAGGGGACATGCAGTATCCCCAGGCTTGTGGTCGCAGGCACAAGGGATCCATGAAGATGCTAATAAGCAAGTTGGAATCCCCACAGGGGTGCCTCATGCTGGAGCCTCCATGGATACCCTCTCCCTTGCTGTTACAGGGGAAACTCGCATGCGCTTCTATGAGCTGTTGGTCACCGGCCGGTACACGCCCCAGACCCTCCCAGTGGGTGAGCTGGATGCTGTTTCTCCAATTGTGAGTGAGACTCTGCAGGTAGGCTCATCACTGTTGCTCTTCCGCCTATGGGTGTCTGGTTTTAGGTGCCTGACCACAACCTGCTGTAGGGTCAGAGCTGCTCTAGAAGCCGTTCTCCCAAGATCTGCTTCAGCGTGCTTACCTGGGGCTGAGCCTGCTCACTGTCTGTAGCTTTCAGTCCCCATGGAGTCCCTCCTCCCATTCAATCCTCCAAACCGCGCTGAAATTCCCACAGACCTGGGGCGCTTTTCCATATGAATGTCAAAACTTTGCTATGTTTGGGTGTCTGGGCACCCTTGCACTCCTGTCTCCAGAAAGTTCAGACTGCCTCCTCAGCCCCATGTCTACAAGGACGCTCACCTGTCCACATCCACTGGGCCATAGTTTCAACCTGGGCTTCCACCCCCTCTCCCCCGCCATCGCACCCCACCCTGCCCCATCCCTCAGAGGGTTAAAATCTGTTTACCTGCTGATGGAGAGGCACTGGTCACACTGTTTTAAGTGTTTAGGATTTGTAAGGACAGTCCTTCAAGCCCAAGATCACAGTTGCTGGTCACATCTCTGTCCTGCCCTTTAATGTCAGCTAGACTGAGGCAGGAAGGACATGTCACCATACCAAGATGTCAGGGTCTTCTCTTTCTGCCTCTGGGTTTAGGGAAAGTCCTCCTCAAGTCCAAAGGGTCATCAGCTATACCTAGGGGTAGAAAAACTCTTAAGAGCTTCCCTGACTGTCCGCTCCTTTCCTTGTGCTGGGAAGCCATTCCCAGAGTTGTAATGAGAAGCTGCTCAGTTCCCTTACAGAGATCTGTCCTCCCTCCACTCCCATGATTTCTTTTTCTTTTCCTTCTCTTTCTAGCTATCAGACGCTCTGAAGCGCCTCAAAGATGGCAGCCTGTCTGCAGGCTGCGGCTCTGGCTCCTCCTCTGTCACCCCCAATAGCGGCGGGACCCCCTTCTCCCAGGACACAGCCTATTCCAGCTGCCGTCTGGACACACCCAACTCCTATGGACAAGGCACCCCGCTCACGCCTCGCCTGGGCACCCCATTCTCCCAGGATTCCAGCTACTCCAGTCGTCAGCCCACACCCTCCTACCTCTTCAGCCAGGACCCCACAGCAACTTTCAAGGCCAGGAGGCATGAGAGCAAGTTCACAGATGCCTACAACCGTCGCCATGAGCACCATTACGTCCACAATTCAGCCGTGGCTGCGGTGGCTGGAGCCACGGCTACCTTCAGAGGCTCCTCAGACCTCTCCTTTGGGACAGTTGGCAGCAGCGGCCCTCCCTTCAAGACCCAGTCACAGGATTCTGCCACGTTTGCCCATACTCCACCTCCTGCCCAAGCAGCCCCTGCTTCTGGGTTCAAGTCCGCTTTCTCTCCATACCAGACTCCAGCACCTCCATTTCCCCCGCCCCCCGAGGAGCCCACTGCCACAGCCGCCTTTGGGACTCGGGACAGCGGGGAGTTCCGGAGGGCACCTGCACCCCCACCCCTGCCGCCCTCTGAGCCTCCAGCCAGGGAGAAGCCAGGCACGCCTCCCGGCCCCCCGCCCCCTGACAGCAACAGCATGGAGCTGGGTGGCAGGCCTACCTTCGGCTGGAGTCCCGAGCCCTGTGACAGCCCCGGCACACCCACTCTGGAGTCATCACCTGCAGGGCCAGAGAAGCCCCATGACAGCCTGGACTCCCGCATTGAGATGCTGCTGAAGGAGCAGCGCACCAAGCTGCCCTTCCTGCGCGAGCAGGACTCGGACACTGAGCTACAGATGGAGGGCAGCCCCATCTCCTCCTCCTCCTCCCAGCTCTCCCCACTCACCCACTTTGGCACTAACTCGCAGCCTGGTTTCCGTGGTCCCTCACCACCCTCCTCGCGCCCCTCCAGCACAGGCCTAGAGGACATCAGCCCAACACCACTGCCTGATTCTGATGAGGATGATGACCCAGGCCTGTGCCTGGGGCCCCGGCCCCCACCTGAGCCAGGCCCCCCAGACCCTATGGGTGTTCTAGGCCACACTGCTGAGGTGGCTTTGGACCTGGCAGGAGACAGGACCCCAACCTCAGAGAGGATGGATGAGGTACCACTATGTCTGTCTGTCTGTCTGGGATTGATTTTGTCTGTCTGTGTTCCACTCCTTCCCCCCTTGATACATTGCACTAGCTAAGACAAGGGGGCCAGTGGGACTCGGTTGGCAGTTCTGTCCTTCCTGGAAGAGTTGAGACTTTTCAACTTGGGATAAGTTGTGATTTTGGCAGAGACCCCGGGGACCATTGGCTGTGCTCATGGTCCCAGGTCCTCTTCTCTGTTAGTGGCTTAGGAATGACTGATAAGTCCTGTCACTCAGGCATCCTGAAAGTTGGCCAGGGTGCTGTGTGGGGCTGGCTCAGGAGCACTCCCAAGTGTTGTCTCATGGAGCCCGGTGCACCGGAGAGGGGAGAACACGTGCCGACGGGCATCCCGTCCTCCTCCTGCCATGGGCAGGAAGCAGTTGGGGTTAGCTTTGCAGGGGAACATAGCCTAAGTCAGGTAAAGGTATCCTGTCTGCCCTCTGCCTGCTCCTCTCTTCATTCCATCCCATTTCCTAAGCCTCCAGTCTCAGCCGTTTTGGAGCTGGGAAGGTAAAGGTGTCACTGTCCAGGTTTCCTGGGGGGGGGGGTTATGTCACCCTCCTGGCTCCACGAGATCCTCATCCTGGGCCAGGCCCCTGGCATCACGCGGCCCAACAGGCATAAACAAGTAGAAGCTCAGATACAACCCCATGCTCTTGTGGACACAGAAGGGAGTGTCCTCCTTTTCCCAGCCCAGAGGACTGCTTTGGGAGAGGAGGTGGGGCCACAGGTGGCTGAGGCCTCTGGGAGCCTGCGAGCAGTTCTGGGGAAATGGTTTCTGCCTTTAAGGGTCAGGGCAGGGAGAGTTGACAGGTGTACTAGCGCTAACTAGGCTGGAGGCCCCTCCCCCATCCCTTCTAGCCAGCCTAGGTTTGGCGGATGTTTGTCGTGCCAGCCACCTGGTCCAGGGCTTGAGCAGCTCCCAGTTGCTGGAGAGCACGGGCCGCCCTCACACGTACTCACTCCCTGGACTTAAGAAAATGAGAGGAAACTAAGGCTGGGAGGGAGGGCTGGTCTTGGGGTGCCCCAGGACCGAAGCCCAGACCGAAGCTTCAGAGTAGGGTTGAGCATCTGGCCGACCCTCGGGTGCCCTCTGCTGGCGGCCGGGAGAGCAGTACTAGGTTCTGTGTCTTGTCTTTTGTGGAGTCTGTAAGATAAAGGGCTCTGCCCATGATGGGTGAGGTAGAGAGGAGGCAGCGGCGTGGAGGAGACCGGTGGGGAAGGACAGGATAGCCAGGGGCTGGTGATTCAAGATACAAGTTTCAGCCCCAGAGTCTTAGCTGTCTCGTCACATGGACTGTGTGACCTAGAGGAAGGCATTTTCCCTCTAGTCTCAGTTTCATCATCTGTTGAGTGGGACAGTAGGAGTCCTGCCGCACCATCTCCATGGAAACGAGGTGTCGCCCGGGAAGCCCGGGCGTTATTCACCTAGACCTACAGGAACTGCAGCCAGCTGGTTCCCACCCGCTGTGCCCAGGGAGGGAGGGGGCAGAGCCAGAGCTTTCCTGTGCCCCCGTGATTGGCTGGCTGTAGAGGGCGGGGTTAACCCTCTGTGCGCTGTTCGGCTGTGCTGAGGTGCTGTCCAGAGCTGATTCTTTCTCTTCTTGCTCAGCCTGCCACTTCCTCCCATGGGCACCTTGTCATACATAGATGTGTGGTTTGTAGAGGGGAGATGAGAGTCTAGATACTCCTTCCCCGACCGATGTCCCCTCCCTCCGAAGCTCTCCTCACCAGGTGGTGTGACCTCTGACCTCGTAGTGCCCCCTCAGCCTTCCAAAGCACTTGCTTCCTTTCTTAACATTTTCACCCAGGGAGGGGTCCGACCCACACAGGAGTCCGGTGTGGGACTGGACTTCGTCTTTTGTCACCTTTTCTCCAGTTCCCAGGCTCTCATTCCCAAAGACCCAGGTCTCAAAGTGAAGCTCCCACCCCCATCATTTTTTGGCCCAGGTTGTCCTTGACTGCCCCCCCCACCTCCTTGCCTTCTAACAACAGCTCTTGATGACGTGGGCGGGTGTCTGGAACAGGCGTCCCAGCCCCAGTTCTCACCGTCACTTGTGGCTCTCTGGTCTCTTCCTCACGTGTCAGGAGGAGCCTCACTCTGTGGGGTTTCCCTGCAGTTTTGGGACAAAACCATGCATGTCTGTAGCTCTCAGCCTTGCCAGCCCATTCTAAAAGCCAAGGGGACTTAAAACAGTGATGGGAAATGATGAAAAAGGTTCAGGGGGAGAGTGCTTGCCCCGAGCTTAGCATGCCCAGCACCTAGCACCCCAGAACCGAACACACACACACACACGAAAGTCCCCTCTTGTTTATGAATCCTTAGTACTGCTAAGTGCTGGGGACCCGGCCAGCCAGCACTTGCTGGGACACCTTTTGCACAAGGCCCTCCTGGCCACCGTGAGGGTCACACACCGACCGAGCCCAGGTGTGGGAGCCACTTCCTGTTTCAGATTGCCAACCCTGTCCCTTACTGGTTTTGTAGTCTCAGAAGTTACTCAAACCTGTCCCAATTTCCTCAGTAAAAGTGGAGATAGCAACCCCACTGCAGAGTTGTTGTAAGAGCTGGCTAATGTATGTAAATGCTCCTGGCGCAGGGGAAACGCTCTGCAGGTGTTAACTCTTTCCTGTAAGCTCTCTCAGACTGCAGCTGAGTTCACTTTACCCTGTTGGCCTTCCCTCTCCTCTCCTCCCCTCTTCTCCACACACTGCCATCGATCAATCGCTCCCCTTAAGCTTCAGCTCCGCCACTTAGAAGTTGAGCTCCAAACAAATCAAGATTTGTGTCTGTCTTCGAGTGAATGTGTTGATGTCCTTTGTATCAAAGGGGAAAGTATGATTTGGGGTGGTTGATTGATTTGCATGAGATTTGTCCCCAGTACTGGTCCTAGGTCTCCTGGCTTCTTCTTGGTGTTTCGAAAGCACTTTCTGAGCTCTTCTCTTACCCTCACTGCTCTCTTTCAGGGCCAGCAGTCCTCAGGAGAGGACATGGAAATCTCAGATGATGAGATGCCCTCGGCCCCCATCACCAGCGCTGACTGCCCCAAGCCCATGGTGGTGACCCCAGGGGCAGGGGCTGTGGCAGCCCCCAACGTGCTGGCTCCAAACCTGCCCCTGCCCCCCCCCCCCGGCTTCCCTCCATTCCCCCCACCTCCCCCCCCACCCCCACCACAGCCTGGCTTTCCCATGCCCCCACCTTTGCCCCCGCCCCCGCCTCCCCCAGCCCATCCTGCAGTGACTGTGCCCCCGCCACCCTTGCCAGCACCGCCAGGCGTCCCGCCCCCGCCCATCCTGCCACCACTGCCACCCTTCCCACCAGGCCTGTTTCCGGTGATGCAGGTGGACATGAGCCACGTGCTGGGTGGCCAGTGGGGCGGCATGCCCATGTCCTTCCAGATGCAGACGCAGATGTTAAGTCGCCTCATGACGGGCCAGGGTGCCTGTCCCTACCCCCCGTTCATGGCGGCTGCGGCAGCCGCTGCTTCAGCTGGGCTGCAGTTTGTCAACCTGCCCCCCTACCGGGGCCCGTTCTCACTGAGCAACAGCGGCCCAGGCCGTGGGCAGCATTGGCCACCCCTGCCCAAGTTTGACCCCTCAGTGCCACCACCGGGCTATGTGCCTCGTCAGGAGGACCCACACAAGGCCACGGTAGACGGGGTCCTGCTGGTGGTACTCAAGGAACTCAAGGCCATCATGAAACGAGATCTCAACCGGAAAATGGTAGAGGTGGTGGCCTTCCGGGCCTTTGACGAGTGGTGGGACAAGAAGGAGCGTTTGGCCAAGGTATGTAGACGGGGTGTGTCGAGAGGGCAGGGTGAGAACCGGATAGGCATGCCTTTCTCCAAAGATGTGTTACTGGGCGTGTGTCTGCCTCCGGCCCCAGGATGAGGCTCCTTTAAACAGGGTCTTGGGAGGCAGAGGCAGGTGGATCTCTGTGAGTTCAAGGCCAGCCTGAGTTCTAGGACAGCCTGGGCTACACGGAGAAACCCTGTCTTGAAAAACCAAAATAAATAAATAGATAAGTAGATAGATGAAAATCTAAATGACTGAACAGCCTAGAACCGTGGCCACTGCCTGTGTGTGGCTTTCTCTTTAAACAAGAGAAGATGGAATGAAATGAAAGTACAGCTCACACGCAGCTCCTCATTTTCCCATGCTGAGCTTCAGATGCCCAGGGGCTTCCTGACCAGTGGCTGCCAGGCGGTCCCACAGCCAAGACCTGGTGCCTGACTCACCTTCCTTTTCTTTTCTGATAACTTTGGCACAACGTCTAACCTCGTGGGGACCTCTGCTTTTCCTTTTCCTGGAGCTTGTCTATCCAGACCTTCGTATACGATCCCTAACTGTCTTCTCTACTTAAGAAAGGACACTTTTCTTGGATCCTTTTTCTTTAAGAGATGAAGTCTCTGCCAGGTATGGTGGCACCTTTAGTCCCAGCACACTGGGAGTTAGAGGCAGGCACATCTCTGTGAGTTCGAGGCCAGCCTGGTGTACAAAACAAGTCGAGGACAGCCAGAGAGAGCTACTACACAGAGAAACACTGTCTGGGAAAACCAAAGGGGGGAAAAGAGGTGGAGTCTCAGCCTGTGTTTCACAGGCTCAAGCATGCTCCTGCTTCAGCCTTCTTAGCTGCAGTGACAGGCACTGCCTGGCTTTATGTGTTTAAAATCCTCCCAGTTAGGCTGGGAGCAGTGGCACGCACCTGTAATCGCAGCACTGGGCGTGGGGGTGGGGTGCTGTGGCAGAGGCCCTGGGATCTCTCTGAGCTTGAGGTTAGCCAGGGTTACATCGTGAGTCCCTGTCTCAAAACAGCAAATGATAGTAATAAGCCAGTCTTTAATCCCAGCACTCGGGGGAGGCAGAAGCAGCCAGATTACTGTGCGTTTGAGGCCAGCCTGGTCTACAGATCGAGTCCAGGACAGCCAGGGCTACACAGAGAAACCCTGTCTAGAAAAAAGAAAAAAGATAGTAGTAGTAATAATTAAAAGAAAAGCCTCCGTTGCTGCCCTTGCCTCTAGTTCTGTCTGCTCTTCTCCCCAATCCCAGAGGAAAGCAGACTTGCCAGTTTTGCTGCCCCTTACAGTGGACTTTAGGGAACACTATGACTAGGAACTTGCTCTCTGCGGTCTAGGTGAGTCCTGTTAGGCCTCATACCGTGTGGCAGTAAAAACAGGAGGAGCTACCTACCGCAGAATTCTTTGCTTGACTTGTGTTGCCCACCCCCATGAGTCATGGTCACAGCTAACTAAAGCTTAAAGTGTCGGTGCCCTCAAGATGGCCCATTTTGTCAGGCTCTCCTGCCATCCTTTCAAGAAAGACAGTCAGAGCCTAGAGAGTGGCCACTTGTGGGTGAACAATGAACATCTATACAGACTTGTTCTATATTTCGCTTTTTTTCATTGTTGTTTTTGAGAAAAGGTTTCACTCTGTTGCTTCCTGGGTGTCTATGCTAGCCCAGGCTAGCGTCCAACTTGGTAACCTGCCTGCCTCTGCCTCCTGATAACCTTGCTTTATTTATTATTATTATTATGTTGTTGTTGTTGCTGTTGTTTTTCAAGACAGGGTTTCTCTGTGTAACAGCCTTGGCTGTCCTTGACTTATTTTGTAGCTCAGGCTGGCCTGGAACTTACAGAGATCCAACTGCTTCTGCCTCCGTGAGTGCTGGGATTAAAGGCATGTGCCACCATGCCCAGCTGAGTCCTGGCTTTAAAAGTGTGCAGTACCTCAGATGGCCATCACACAAATTGTAGCGAGTCTTGTTTTTATTAAAACTAAATCTTGTTTAGGTTTAAATGAAATAATTAATGAGGCCAGGTGCTGCATGACTTTAATCCCAGTATTTGGGAGGCAGAGGCCAGCCTCGTCTACATAGCAGGTTACAGGAGAGCCTGGGCTCAAAAACAAACAAACAAACAACAACAAAAAAAAAAGAACCAAGGCTAACCTCAAATTCCCTTTGTAACAGATTTTACACTAAGAATTTTCCTGCTTTCACCTCTAGGGCATTGGGATCCCAAGTGTGCCTGACCACGCCCAGTTTAGCAGATGCTGGGAACGGGACCCTAGGCAAGCACTCTTCCAGCCCAGCTGTAGCCCTAGCTCTGAATAAATTCTTTAAGCTGTTGGCAGTGCCTGAGCCAGATGTGAAGCACACCTGTAATCTCAGGAGTATCAGGAGTTTAAGGCCAGCCTTAGCTACACAGTTCCATGCTAGCCCGTAACACAGCAGAAATGGGTTACAAAGATGTCTCAGCAGGTAAAAGCACTGGCTGCTCTTGCAGCGGACCCAGGTGTGGTTGTCAGCCACTGCATGGTGTGTCAGAACTTCATAAATCCAGATCTAGGAGATCCAAACTCTTTCCTGGCCTCCATAGACATCAGAGATACATAAAGACACAGCACACGTACACATCAAACTGAAATAACCCTTTAAAAGAAATTCTATAACAAATTCAAAAGGCCAGTCACTTGAGTTTGATTTTCTGTTGTATTTTATTTTGAGGTAGGGTCTTGTGTGACCCAGGTTGGCCTCAGGCTTGTTGGGTAGTCAAACAAAGGTGGCCTTACATGCCTCCCATCTGCCAAGTGGTAAGATTACAAGCCTGTGCCACCAGCCCCAGTTCTGTTGTTATGGTTATTTGTGTGTTTGTTGGGTGGTGCTTTGCCTGCATGTATGTAAATGCAGTGAGGCTGGCCTGGGGTCCACAGGGGAAGGAACAGGGCACCAGATGCCATCAAACTGGAGTTACAGATGGTTGTGAGCCACCATTTGGGTGCTGGGAATGGCACCCATGTCCTCGACAAAGGCAGCCCGTGCTCTTAACCGCTGAGCCATCTCTCCAGTCCCCTTAACTCTCTCCTTTTCTTTCTTTTTTTTTTTTTTTAAGCACTAGCTCAAGAAGTAAAAGTGGTTTCAGTTAACTTTTGAAGCAAGAAAAGCTTATGCTCTGTCCCTTCTCTTATGAGTATATGGAATCAGCTGTGTAAACACTGTGGACAGTTTGTAACACACTGGAACCACGGGGCGCAGGGAATTAGGACTTTGTAAATGTGTTGAGTGTGGACCTTGGTTCCTGTGGCAATGATGCCGACATGTCCTTAGAGGACTCACCTGTCAGCCTCGCCTCCCACGTGGTGGCTACTGCTTCAAGAACTGTGGCTATAGTGGTGTGTTGTTGGTGAGGCCATGATGGAGGGGCAGGGCAGGGCTCTAGAACCCCAGGACGGGAGTTCAGTGTGGCCAGGTATGTGGGAAGACAGTGTACCACTACCGGAGCCTGCCAGCAGGGGGCGGCGGCCATCCTCTGACTGCTCACTGTCCTTTCCTCTCCCATCCCAGGCCTCGCTGACCCCCGTGAAGTCTGGGAAGCATAAGGACGAGGACAGGCCAAAGCCCAAAGACCGAATCGCCTCATGTCTGCTGGAGTCGTGGGGCAAGGGTGAAGGCCTGGGTTACGAGGGCCTAGGCCTGGGCATTGGACTGCGTGGTGCCATTCGCCTGCCATCCTTCAAGGTCAAGAGGAAGGAGCCACCAGACACAGCCGCCTCTGGTGACCAGAAGCGGCTGCGGCCCTCAACATCTGTGGATGAGGAAGATGAAGGTTTGTGCTCTGGGCCGCTGTCTGTCTGTCTGGCTGTCTGTCGCCCTTTTTCCTGTCTGTGCATCCCAGTTCTGACTCCTGCTATTTCCACAGAGTCAGAAAGGGAGCGTGACCGGGACATGAGTGATGCCCCCTGTGAACTAGCCAAGCGGGACCCCAAGAGCGTGGGTGTGAGGCGCCGGCCAGCGCGGCCACTGGAGCTGGACAGTGGCGGGGAAGAGGATGAGAAGGAATCCTTGTCTGTGTCGTCGTCTTCGTCGGCGTCCTCGTCCTCAGGATCTTCTACCACCTCACCCTCGTCCTCAGCCTCAGACAAGGAGGAGGACCGAGAAAGCACTGAGGAGGAGGAGGAAGAGGAGGAGGAGGAGGGCAGGCCCAGGAGCCGTGTATCCTCACCCTCATCCTCGTCCACCTCTGATAAGGTCTGGATCGGGGAGGCTCCTGGGTGCTGGGTGCTGGGGATGTGAGCCTTCAGCTTACCTATGTCCCTCTACCCCCAGGAGGATGATGATGACAGTGATGACCAGAATGATTCTGACATCGATGATCAAGATCCAGCGCTGTCAGAGGCGAGTGAGAAGGACAGCGGAGAGTCTGAGGAAGGTAAGCAAGGAGGTGGGCTGCCTGGCCCAAGCCCATGCTCCCAGGGCAGAAGTGGAGCGTTGGTCACTGATGTTCTGCGGCCAGTATTAGTGCTTTTGAGAGGTTTGCTCCTTAAAGCACGTACCTCACGTGTCAGGATTCCAGCTACACCAAATGACAGAACAGGTGAATCCATAGAGCCAGAAAATGCGTAAGCTGGTGAGGGTACTTAAGCTGTGTTGATGGAGGTGCTTAGGACTGAGCGAAGCGGGGGTCGCCATATCGGGAACCTGAATGTCCACTTCAGAGGGAACCGTTTTATGTTAATTTTACCTTGCTCTTTTTATGCTGAGGGCTAGTTTCCTCTCCTTCAGCGTCTTGAGGGTTGTGTTTCAGAGGGCATCCTGCTCCAGGCCTTTGGGGAGCTCTAGCACGGGGCAGGAACACCACTGGCCATGAAATAACCCCTTCCCAACTCGTGTCATTCACACAGAGGAGACAGAGAGCATCGCCACCTCAAAGGCCGCAGCTGAGTCGGCCTCATCCAGTGAAAGTTCGGAATCTTCTGAGTTTGAATCCAGTTCTGAGTCCTCATCCTCATCTTCATCATCAGAGGACGAAGAGGAGATGACTGCACCTGGGGAGGAAGAAGGAGAGGAGGAGGAAGAGAAGGAGACGGCAATGGCTGCAGCGACAGTAGTGGCGATTGCCGAAGAGAGCATGCCTCTGGCAGGTGGCCAGGACTTCGAGCAGGACAGGGAAGAAGTGCCTGTGGGCCCAGGAGTCCCCATGGCTGAGTCCTTGGGCACAGAAGAGGAAGTGGACATTGAGGCTGAGAATGAAGCCCCTGAGATGCAGGCTGCCCTGCAGGATGAGCCTCCATTGCCCGTGGGCGCTCAGGAGCCGGAAGAGAACAAAGAGCCCCCAGAAGAGCCAAGCCCAAACACACCAGAGGACATGTTGCTCTCTCCAGAGCTCCCTGCCAAGGAGACGGAGGCCCAGCCCCCATCACCTCCTGAACATGGTCCAGGTAATCCTGCAGCCTCTTGGGTGGGAGCGGGCCATGATGCAGAAAGCTGGCTTGTGTTTCTGTCATCAGAACCAGCCCAGGTTCTCTGGAAGGGCCTCAGCTGACGCCCTTCCCTGGAATCACTGATGGGCCCAAGGGTTATTCTTCGGCCCATGTTTTCCTGAGGTGCCCCATACACACGCTTGGCGGGGAACCCACGGTTGGTTTAGTGGCAGGCGGCCTGGGAGTGCTGGGTCAGTGGGTTCGTCATCCTGCACCCACCACCTTGACCAAGCAGTGCAAAGCACGTGACAGGCTCATTGCTGGGGCCTTGGGATGGGAGTGTCTGCAGTGGCAGAAATGGTCTGCCAGACAGTGTTGCTACTGAGCCCCTCCTCTGAGGAACCTGTATTATGACTTAATTCAAATTCATCTTAACATTTCAGAATAGTTAGCACAGCCGCATGTGGCTAGTATGTACCTTTTTGAAATCCAGGGAAGGAAACTTTAGATTTTGTTTAATGTATCTCATATCACTGAGTACAGAGCACAGGTCTTTGAATAGGAACTCACTCTGAAGGTTCTTTCGGTCTGCAGGACTGTTCTGGGCATTGTCAATACAACAATAGATCAAATGGACGGAAGATACCCGTCCTTGTGAAGCACATACATACTCTAGGTCAGAGTGACAGGCCACAACACACGGGAAAACTTAGATCCCAAGAGAACAGAGGCAAATGCCAGGAGAAATGGGTGAAGACTGACAGGTAGAAGGTGGAAGCTGAGTTGGAGCGGGTTTTCCTGGAGGTTTTGCTCTCGGCAGTGCTAGGGTCCAAACCCAGGACCTTGCACACGCCAGGCGAGTCCGCTACCATTATGCCACACTCTGGCCACATGGACATAGTTCGGAAGGCTAGCATTATTCCTCCCTACACTTATGAAGCCCCTCCTGGGTACCTGCCCCTGGGCTGGTTACTGAAAAGCCTTGAGTGAGCAGTGTCTGTGTGTTGAGTGCATAGTAGGACAGTAAGGAGATAAGGCGTCGGAATTAAGTAACAATGCCCTGGTCTTTTGCCTCTTTCCACAGAGGAGGATGTGGAAGTGGAGCCCGAGCCGCCTCCGATGCTCTCCTTGCCCCTGCAGCCACCATTGCCACCCCCTCGACTACCCCGGCCACCCAGCCCACCCCCTGAGCCTGAGACCCCAGAGCCCCCCCAAGCCTCCTGTCCCCCTGGAGCCTCCCCCTGAAGACCAGCCTCCACGTACTCCGGGCCTCTGTGGCAGCCTGGTCAAGTCACAGAGCACAGAGACAGTGCCAGCCACCCCAGGCGGAGAGCCTCCGCTGTCAGGGGGCAGCAGTGGCCTGTCACTGAGCTCCCCACAGGTGCCTGGCAGCCCCTTCTCCTACCCGTCCCCGTCCCCGGGCTTGAGCAGCGGGGGCCTTCCACGGACACCTGGTCGGGACTTCAGTTTCACACCCACCTTCCCTGAGCCCGGTGGGCCCCTGCTTCTGCCTGTCTGTCCCCTCCCAGCCGGTCGTCGAGATGAGCGCTCGGGCCCGCTGGCCTCCCCCGTGCTCCTGGAGACCGGCCTACCTCTCCCACTTCCCCTGCCTTTACCCTTGCCTCTGGCGTTGCCTGTCCCTGTCCTAAGGGCCCAGCCTCGGCCGCCTACCCAGCTGCCTCCTCTGCTGCCTGCTACCCTAGCTCCCTGCCCAACCCCCATCAAGAGGAAGCCAGGCCGGCCCCGGCGATCCCCACCATCTATGCTGTCCTTGGATGGGCCTTTGGTCCGGCCACCGCCGGGGCCTGCCCTTGGGAGGGACCTTCTGCTCCTGCCAGGCCCACCACAGGCTCCCATTTTCCCCAGTGCACATGACCCTCGGGCAGTGACCTTGGACTTTCGGAACGCAGGGATTCCAGCCCCCCCACCACCCCTCCCACCTCAGCCCCCTCCACCCCCACCCCCACCACCTGTCGAACCCACCAAGCTGCCCTTCAAGGAGCTGGACAACCAGTGGCCCTCTGAGGCTATTCCCCCAGGACCTCGCCGTGATGAGGTCACTGAGGAGTACATGGACCTAGCCAAGGCGAGGGGACCATGGCGACGGCCGCCTAAGAAGCGCCACGAAGACCTAGTGGCCCCGTTGGCCTCACCCGAGCCCTCCCCGCCCCAGCCTCTCTTCCGGCCCCGCTCAGAGTTTGAGGAAATGACCATCTTGTATGATATCTGGAACGGTGGCATCGACGAGGAGGACATCCGCTTCCTGTGTGTCACCTACGAGCGCCTGCTGCAGCAGGACAACGGCATGGACTGGCTGAATGACACACTCTGGGTCTACCATCCTTATATCCTGCCGGGCTTGGGGGCCGCACCCCCCGGAAGCAGGAAGGCTCTCTAGGCATAGCACCTTGTCTGTAGCAGTCAAGCACCAGGGAGGCAGTAGCACAGTCACTGCCGCTTACCAGGTGGTGGGCCTGCCAAGCCTGTCTCGGGTGCAAACGTAAGGGTGAGGAGTGTATGACTTAGCAATAGCGGAGGAGACCAAGCTGGGCTCCATCAGCAAGGCTCTGCCTGGCCCAGCTGACTCCCGGTGGCCCAGTGATACTCAGTGCAGTTGGTTGTCTCATTTTACGCTGGCAGAAACTGTTCGGAGAGGATTGGTGAGCTGCCCAAAGCTGCCACACAGCCACCGAGTGGCAGAGCTGAGGTTTGAAGACAAAGCCTGCTCTTGAACCCAGCACTTTTCTGTGATGCTGTCCTGAAGGTGGTTGGTTGTATACGGTGCTGGTATAGGGCTGATGCTGTCTCGTTCCCCATTGTCCACCCTAATTTGAGCATTAGCTGTCTCAGGAGCTCTGCCAGAGTACTCTGACTAAACTTACCTATTCATAGGTTCATCATTATTCCTATTTTCGGGTGGGACACAGGCAGAAAATAGCAATAAGCATGCCCCATGTCACGCACTAGGTGCAGGCCAGCAGAGCTAGCTTAGGTGGCGTCAAAGTGGGTGGTGGAACCTGCCATCCTTACCCCTAGACGTGGGGCTGAGGAGGACAGGCAGGGGGGCCAGGAGGGGGATCTCTGAGACATGTACGTGGCCCTTGACCCACACCCACCCACCAGCCTCTCCTCGGCAAAGAAGAAGAAGCGGGACGATGGCATCCGAGAGCATGTGACGGGCTGTGCCCGAAGCGAGGGCTTCTATACCATCGACAAGAAAGACAAGCTGAGATACCTCAACAGCAGCCGAGCCAGCACTGATGAGCCGCCCATGGACACCCAGGTACCGTGAGCCCGGCCTGCGTGAGCCTGCGCTGAGTCAGGGGGCTCCGGCCAGGGGCTCTGTCCTATGTGTTTGGGCTGTGGGAGGTGAAAGGTGAGGGTGGTGGGTAGAGGCTCATGAGTTCTAGAGGAGTCTGCCCTCTGCAGGTAGACTGTCTCAGAGTTTAAAAAAAAAAAAAGTTTTGCTTTTTATTCTGTGGGTAGCAGAGAACTCCAAATGGTGTTTTGTTTCTGTGTTTCAAGAAACACAAAATATATTCTTTTCTTTTTTTGCATTGTGGGCCCAAATGATTTTTAACCCTGGCCATAAGCACATTTCTAAGAAGTTGGCTTTTTTGGGTTTTTTTTCTTCTCTATTCGGAATACACCTGTAGTATTATACTAGGCATCAGTGAATAAAACAAAGTTATTCTCATGGCGTGGAATGAACATTCAAGCCTGTGTACAATCAGGAGCAAATGCTGTGGATAAGAGGGAGGTTAGCAAGTGCAAGGGGGTCAGAGAAGGTCATGTTGACTCTAAGTGAAGAGGGGGGAAGCCACATAGACCTACAGGAAAAGACCACTGAGAACAGAAAAGTAATTTGATAAGTCAGGGAGGCCCTCAGTTGTGAGAGAAAGAGAAAGCATTTCACGATGCTGATGGGAGCCAGACAGTGGTGGTGGAGCGTGTCTTTAATCCCAGCACTCGGGAGTCAGGCAGGTGGATCTCTGTGGGTTTGAGGCCAGCCCCTAGGGCTACATAGAAAAACCCTGTCTCGGAAAACCAAAGCTAACGATAGGAAGAGATGGAAAGGCCAGAGATGTTCCAAGCTGGGAGGCAGGGACAGAGCTGGGGAGGGTGTGGCAGGGCCTCCTATGCCCCTCCCTGACATGTCCTCCTGTCGTGCCAGCAGGGTATGAGCATCCCGGCACAGCCGCACGCCTCCACCCGGGCAGGCTCGGAGCGGCGGTCTGAGCAGCGACGCCTGTTGTCCTCCTTCACCGGCAGCTGTGACAGTGACCTGCTCAAGTTCAACCAGCTCAAGGTGAGGCTAGGCCTTCTCCGGGCAACCAGCTCAGCAGTGGGACACAAGCAGCTCATCCATCCTGTTCTTTCCTCCCCTAGTTTCGGAAGAAGAAGCTCAAATTCTGTAAGAGCCACATTCACGACTGGGGCCTGTTTGCCATGGAGCCCATTGCTGCTGATGAGATGGTCATTGAGTACGTGGGCCAGAACATCCGCCAGGTGGGTGCTGCACAGGGGACCAGCGACTGGGGCGCGGGGCCCAAGGAGCCGGCCCGGACTTAAGACTTTTTGCCCCCAGGTGATTGCGGACATGAGAGAGAAACGGTATGAGGATGAAGGCATCGGAAGCAGCTACATGTTCAGGGTAGACCATGACACCATCATTGATGCCACGAAGTGCGGCAACTTCGCGCGCTTCATTAACCACAGCTGCAATGTAAGTGCCCAGCGAGGGGCCGAGATGACCCACCTGTGTGCTGCGGGCTCCCAGGCAGGGCAAGCATGCTCAGTCTCCTTTCCAGGCTCCAGCTGACGGGAGGTGACAGGCAGGGATGGGCTCAGAGGCCTGTAAAAGGAGCTTCTCTCCTGAGCTCAGGTGTGATGCCTGTACAGTGGGTACAGGGGGAATTCTGGACTCCCGTGTAAGACAGAAGGTGCTCGAGAGGTGGTCTGGGGACAGGTGTGGTGGCGTAAGTTAAACCCAGCACTCAGGAGGCAGAGGTGGGTGGATTTCTGTGAGTTAGAGGTCAGCCTGGTTTACATAGTGAGTTCTGGCCAGCCAGGATTGCCCAAGTAAGACCTTGTCTCACTGTTTGTCTTGCAAGCACAGAGACCTGAGTTCACTCCCAAAGCCACATAAAAAGGTGTGGTATGATCCCGGGGCTGGGGATGTGGGGACAGGAGAATTCCCTGAGCTCACTGCTCAGCTAGCCTAGCTAACTGGGTGAGCCCCAGACCAGTGAACAACACTGTTGTAGCAGGGAATGATGGGTAGGAACCATAGCCAGCATTAACAGGGAAGGAGGGCTTCGGGGGAAGAGTACAGATCGTTTGGGCTTCAGGTAACCTCTGTAGTAACTGCTTACCTTGTGCTCCAAACAAAAGCAAATACAGGTGATGTGCAAGCGAAGAGGGCAAGATCGTGTCAGTAAAACAGGCAACTGGGGTCTGGAGTTTATGGACTGACTTCTTTAGGGCTCAGAAGTACAGAATTGCCAGGCGTAGTGGTGCACAGGCCTTTATTCCTGGAACCCAGAGAGTTCAGAAGAGGGCACCTGAATCAGGAGTCACGGGTAGTTATGAGCCACCCTGTGGAGGCTGGGAACCACCTAGGTCCTTTTTGCAGGAGCAGCAAGTGTTCTTAGCTGCTCATCATTTTCATTTACCTTCATGCATGGGGGAGCCAACTGGAGAGCTGAGCTGGGGCATCAGTTGGGTTTGGGGTGGCTGCGTGGTGGCCCCCGGCTGACCAGATCCCCGCCTCTCCCACAGCCCAACTGCTACGCCAAGGTGATCACGGTGGAGTCGCAGAAGAAGATCGTCATCTACTCGAAGCAGCACATCAGCGTCAACGAGGAGATCACGTACGACTATAAGTTCCCCATCGAGGACGTCAAGATCCCCTGCCTCTGCGGCTCCGAGAACTGCCGGGGCACCCTCAACTAACCCCCGGGCGCCCCTCGCCCTGGGCCAGGCTCCGCCTCCCACCCATTTCAGGTGCTGTCCCCTCTCCCCAGCAGCCACGCCAGGGCCTGGCGCCCCCAACACTACCCCAAGGACCTACCCGCAGCCCCAGCCCCGCAGCGGGAAAGGGCTTCTCGGTCTCTCTCCACCCGTGTCTTCTGTTCTAAAGATGCTCCTGCAGGCTTTCTGTCCCCCTGGATCTAGCTTTCCACCCCTTGTCCTCTCTCGCTGTCTTCAGCACTAGTCCTTCCCCGTGAATGCTGCTCTGTTGTGTTGTCTTCTCTTTATTTTCTTCCTTGTCCTAAGAAAAGACATTTTAACCATTGAAAATGTGAAGGCAGAATCAGAGGAGGAACCCTGTGGGGCCTGGAGGCCTCAGTGAAACTGTGTGTGGGCCCAGGGTCCAGGCTGACGCCGGGCCAGGTGCTGCAGGAGGAGGGGCCCTCCTTGGCCTCCCCCTCAGAACACTACAAGCCCGGGAGGCCTCTCTGCCTCAGGGTACAGTGCGCAGACCCCACAGTTTCTCCTGGCCTGTTCCCCAGTCTGTCCCTTCCCCTGTGGCTGAGGGTGCCCTTTTCCTGAGGTAGCCCCTGGGGGGGGCTAAGCTGGCCCCAGGCAGGAACTTCCTCTCTGGGTGCTCCCAGCTGCCTACCACCCCCAAATCCTTGGGTTCAATGTTTACTTTCTCATTCGGATGCCAGCAACGATGGAGCCTCCTGGTGTCCCCAGTGCGGTGGGGGCACTGGGAAGGGTGTCTCCACTCTCTGCTGCCTCGGCTTTGCCTGGGTGTAGGGGGTGCCAGGGCCCTCAGGGGCCCCCAGCCCTGCCATTACGGGTTGTCTGACCGTACGCATGTGACATTTTTGTTGATAAGCTTTGCCCCTTTACCCCAACCCACACCCATGTCACCCTGCTGGTGGCCCCCACTGGGGAGGCCAGAGTATTTATTTCCATAGCGAGCAGGCTACTTCTCCCAGAGAAAGGAAAGTAGTCTTGGAAATGATTTTAAAACTCAAATCTACTTTTGGACAGCTCCTGCGGCCGCCCGCCCGCCCTATCCCTATCCTCTTCAGGGTTAATTTCCACGATTTTTTTTTTTCTTAATGTATAAAATCAAAAGGAAGAAGATGATTGTTTTGGTGTTCAGCACCAATTACTGTAGATAGACTGCCATAGCGGACTTTTTCTTGGGAACTTTGTTTCTTGTAGAAACACATGGGAAGAATTGTTTTTTCTTATTCCTTTTTACTTCCATACAAAAAAAAAAAGTAAACCAACAACAAACAGACATACACAAACAGCAAGTCCCGTCCTTTACACCCCCATCCCCACCCCCCACCCCCACCCCCGAAAGCAGAGCAGGCATGTAAATACTTCTGGACCGTGACTGTTGTGACCCGGAGTCCTCACCAAGATGAAAGTGCTCCGGGTGGGGACGACCCACCCGCAGACCAGGCGGCGGAGCCTCTTGGTATCTCAGCTTGTGTCAAGCTTCCTTATCATGTAAATTCTGTACAAAGAATTGTTATTTTTTTTTTTCTTTCTCTCTCTCTCTCTGTCGTTGGTGGTTTTGTTGTGGTTTTTCTTTCCCTCTGTGTTTGCGTCTGTGCCCTCCGGTCTGAAGGTGAAGATGAGTGGCATTAAGACACAGGGTTTCCCTGGGCACAGCGACGACCTTCTCTTCCCATTTGCAGTTTTTTGCATAATTGTGCAAATGAGAAAAAATATTTATTTTTCACACAAAGAAATGTGTAGTGTGTAGAGATGGCTAATTTGAGTTACTTAGCAGCCCACCTCCAGGGCCTGTCTTCATCTTGCCTGCTTCAATCCACCACAGAAGGGTAAGGATGAAGATGCTCAGAGGCCAGGGGACAGATGCGGGCTTCCTGGTTGTGCCTCAGTGAGCCCCGTCACAGGATCCACGTCCATTAACCTTGGCTGCCTTTGAAGAAGGGTGAGGTTTGAGGCTGCTCCTCCCCCAAACCCCTGGCTCACCCCCAGGAATGGTTTGCAATAATCCTAATATGTGGGCTCGTTTTTTTCTTTGGAAGCTTTTGTTATCATTGAATAGATCTCTGCTTTTGAAGGGTCAGGGGTTTCTGATTTTTTTCTTTTTCTTTTTTCCTCTCCCTGCCCCTGCAAAGAAGAGAACCAATAAATTTTGGGGTTGTCTGTGCGTATAGACTTTGTCATCCATATGTAACTTGTTTTTGAAGAGAAGTGTTTCCGTTGTGGGTGTGTCTTGCTGTAAATATTTGTTCATATTTTTGTGAATTCAATACTATGTACCATTGTATTATAGTAACTTTTATAAAGCAAACCATAAATATACTGACTTTTCTTACAGATACGCCGTCTCTCTTGCTCTCCTCCCACCCCTCTCCCCTTTCTCCCTGTTCAAAGTGCACCCTGTTCTTGAGGAGGGTGGACCAGACACTGGAGGAGGGTGTGATAGACCACTCAGAATATTGTGGGTTCCTTTGCTTTTGAGATTGCTGTACTCTGTAGCCCAGGCTACAGCGCCTCTGGCCTCAGCCTCCAGAAATGGGGTTGTAATCAGGACCTTGCCATGCCAGGCTGCCCATTTGATCTTTACTTGATCATAACCGAAGGTTCAGGGACAGTGGGTTCTGAACTGGGTCAGACTATACAGTCAAGCTAGATGTTCTGTCATTTTTGTTTTTTTATTTTTAAGGAGGATTTTTTTCCCTAGGTATTTTTTTTAAGCCCTTAACTATCTTGAGCAGCTAATGATACGTAAATAAGCACAAATCTGCCGTAGTCCCCTCATCCCAGTTACTCCAGACTGAGGCAGGGGCATGACAGGTTCACAATGTGGGCTGTGGAGTGAGCTCAAGTCCAGTCTAGGCAACTTAGAGCCTGCCCCAAGAGAAACAGTATTAAAAAAAAAAAAAGCTGAGAGGTTGGCAAGATGGCTCAGCAGCCAAAGGGGCTTGCTGCAAAACGTGATGTGAGTTTGCTTTCCCTGAGCCCACGCGATGGAAGGAGAGAACAGACTCCTACAAACTGGTCCTCTGTCAGCCACGTGTGCCGTAGCCTGTTCTGGTGACTGGGTAATGGGGTGTGTCCAGGGCGTTTCTGAGAAGACTCAAACCCCAAGGCTGGACATAGTGGCATATCCTCTGTAATCCCCACATTTGGGATGCAGGCAGAGGGCTGGCCAAGAGTTCAGTCCTCAGAACCCACAGTGGCAGGAGAGAGCTGCCCTCTGATTTCACATGTGCGTGCCTACACTCACACGTGTGTCACACACAATAATAATAATTAACCCAGGGGCTGGAGAGATGGCTCAGAGGTTAGGAGCACTGGTTGTTTCTCTAAAGGTCCTCAGTTCAGCTGGTGGAGGGGGAGCACACCTGTAGTCCCAGGTCTCAGGGAGGCCGAGGCAGGTGGATCTCTGTGAATTCAAGGCCAGCCTGGTCTAAAAACAACAGCAAACAAAAAAAAAAAAAAAAAAAAAAAAAAAAATCAAAGGACTTAAGTTCAGTTCCCAGCAACTACAGGGTGGCTCACAACCATCTATAATGAGATGTAGCGCCTTCTGGCCTGCAGGCAGAATAGGGTATAAGTAAATCTTTTTTAAAAAATATTAGAAACTTGGGCATAAAGCCAAGCAAGGTGATTTATGTGTGAAGACAGGGGTGTCTGTTGTAAGAACCAAAACTCCCAAATGTGTATGTGAAATGACCCAGCTTTCTAAAATGTGGACTCAAGTAAGACCCAGGGACACACACATTTAAGTCCAGCATCTGCAAGGCAGAACCAGTTGGATCTCGTGAGTTACGGGGTAGCCTAGTTCACACAGAAGAGTTTCTAGCCAACCAGAGCAGCACAATATCTCAGAACAACAAAAAAATATCGACTCCTTTGAAATCATACAGACAAAACAAAACAAAACAAAAACCCAAACCTGCGTCCAGATGTGACACAAGCCGCAGGTTTGCAACCTTCTGGGGAGACGATTCCTTTTTTGCATGAACCATGGAAACAGAAAGGGAGGGTTTTTGCATTGGCTGGAGCCTGATCCTCATAATTTTCTCCCAGGCTTTTTCGTTTTGGTTTTGTGCATCATGGAGACTGTCCTCAAACTTCTGATGCTCCTGCCTCATCCTCTGGAGTGCTGGGATTACAAGCATGCACCACCATATCCAACTTACTCGTTCCATTTCTTAGTTCATGCTCTTAGAGACCCTGATTAGATTTTTTTTCCTTAGAGAGCGGCACCACACATTCTGCCCTTTGGGAGCTGGAGGCAGAAGCAAGCCAAACTGGCCAGCCTGGTCTACCTAGCAAGTTACAGGTCCGCTTGGGCTACACAGTGAGACACATACTCCTCTCAAAATAAAGTGAACATAATTTTAAGTCGATTGGTGCTCAGGAAAGGGTGTCAGACTAAAGCAAACGGAAAAGAGCCCAAACTCCTCCCCACTCTCCCCACTCTGTTCTTTTGTTTTGTTCCCCCCCCCCTTGCTGGGGATAGAACCTTGTGTGGTAGGTAGGGTACGCTCGCTCTGCGGCTGAGCTCCAGGCTTCCGAAGGAATCCAACAGCATTTTGAACTTTTAGCTTTTTCTCCCACTTGCCTCGTTCTCTCACACCAGTATAAACAAGGGCACGAGGAAATGCAGTTGCCCTGGGATTTGGGGTCCTGGGGGCTGTCACACTCAGGGTGCAAGACAGGAGCTGAGAGATTCAGAACTCTCAGGCCCGGGCTCTCTCTCAGACAGGAACCATGTCCTGCGATTGCCGAAGGATGCTACCCCGAAAGTCCCCTGGTCCCCTTCATGTGTTCCTAGGGAGTGATGACATTAAGGAGGGTTCGTCTTTAAAGGTTTGTTGTTGTTTGTTCATTCATTTGTTTGTTTGAGATAGGGTTTCCCTTGCTGTTCTGGAACTCGCTCTGTAGACCAGGTTGGCCTCGAACTCAGAGACCCACCTGCCTCTGCCTACGGAGCGCTGGGCGTGCACCACCACTGCCCGTCCGTCTTTAAAGGTTTTAAAGCCTCAGATGAGAGGCTGCCGCATTCCAGCCCACCTCAGGACCTTGTCTGTTCTTTCCTATTTCCAGGACACTCCGTGGATCAGGCGTGCACCACGGCTGAACTCCACCACCCGTTGTATTGTCTTAGTGGCATTTACCGCTCTTTGAAACGGTATCATTTTTTTGTCTCTTTAGTTTAAGTCCCTTGTTCCTAGTTCTATAAATTGGTCCGACCAGCTGGGTCCCACTTAATAAATCAAGTTCTTGTACTCTGCACCTACAGATCCCCAGGCAGAGGCTTCAGGCAGCTCAGCGGTCTTGGTCTCCCCCTGGCGGCGAAGTGACGCCACTACTCCTCACGAGGCGCAAACACAAGACACAGCCTCGGACGTGGGAGGGTCTCTTTACTCAAGCAGGGAAGGTGTAGGCAAGGAGGGACCCTAGCCGTAGAGGGGCGTGGCCATGATGTGGGTGGAGCCCTGAGGTTGTCCCTCAGCTGGCTGGAGATGGTTGACGCGCCCGGCACCCAGTGGTCTGGGTGTGGGCGGGGCCTACATTCCGGACCTCACTCCGTTGGTCTCCAGGTCAGTGAGGTTTCCCCGTAGGGCTTGCTCCTGCTCGAAAGCCTTGAACAGGGCGTTAAAGTTGCCAGCTCCGAAGCCCTGTGGCGATAAAAGGCAAGTGTGAGGTGGGGACCTGGGAAGCAGCCTGTGCTGTCCGTCGGGTGCAGGTCCTACCTGGTGGTTGTGGCGCTGGATGACTTCCAGGAAGAGTGTGGGCCGGTCCTGCATGGGCTTGGTGAAGATCTGCAGGAGGTAGCCTTTCTCATCGTAGTCTACCAGGATTTTCAGCTCCTGGGAGGGAGACAGAGGGCTCCGTCAAAGGATGGCCCACCGGCCCTTGTGGGATCCTTAGATGGCGCAGAGGTCCCTCAGCCACCAATTCCAATAAAAGACTCCCTTCTCCTGTAGTTCCAGCTTCCTCCAAATAGGTTCCCAGATCATCGTGCCTACGCCACCCCCATGGCTGCTCCAGCTTGAGGTCTGGCCTGTTTTCTCTCATTCGCCCATAACCCCCATCAGATGTCACTTGGTGGAAACTGGGCCTCTCTCTTACGTTGCTGAGGAGAATGCGTCGACTTTGGAAAAGCGGCCTGAGAGTTTCTCAGAATGTTGGACATGTGTCTTCCACTGGCTCAGACATGGGTCAGAGCCCTTGCTGCTCTTATAGAGGATTGCAGAATACGGTTCCCGGCGCACCATACCTGGCAGCTCACAACCATTTGAAACTCCAGTTGGTGGGGATTCCACACCCTGCTCTGTCCTCCAGTGCGTAGCGTAGATACGCACGGAGCCGCACAGTCATGTACACCTACACAGGCCAGCCTAGTCTACAATGTGATTCCTGGCCAGCCAGGGCTACCCAGTGAGATCCTGTCTCAAAAATTAAAAACCTAAGGTATTTCACGTGGCTTCTGTGCTAGTAAAGCTGTTTTAAAAACAAACAAAACCCTAAATCAGGGCTGGGAGATGGCTGGGTGGTTGGAGCTGCTGCTGCGCCTGCGCCGGTGTGGGGACCAGCACTCTGAGCCCTCAGCCCCACGTAAATATGAGGTGGGTGTGGTGGCCTGCCTGTAATTCCAGCCTCAGAAAACAGAAGGGGTTGGGGTCTCTGGAGAGATGGCCCAGCAGGTAAGGACACTCGGCAGCTCTTCCAGAGGACACAAATCACGTGGCTTCATTCCAGCTCCAGAGGAGCGGTCGCCTCCTACCGCTGTGGCGCCTGCGCTTGCGCTTATGCGCAAATGCCTACATGCAGACACACACCCAGACATAAGGAAAGAGACAGAGAAAGCAGAGACTGGCCACATCAGTGAACTCTGGGTTCGCTCGGGAGCCCTTGCCTCAATAAGGCGGGAGAGTGATTGAGGGTGATTCCTAACATCAACCTTGGGCCTCCACATACATCCATGCACCCACCCACATTCACATGTGTGGCTCATTCGTGCAAGTGTGTGTGCCTACACTGCATACCACAAAGAGAGAGAAAGAAAAAAATGAAAATTTAAAAATTAAAAATAGCTGGTTGTGGTGGCTCACACCTTTAATCCCAGCACTCTAGAGGCAGAGGCAGGTAGGTCTCTGTGGGTTCAAGAACAGCCTGGTCTACAAAGTGAGTTCCAGGACAGCTAGAGCTGTTACACAGAGAGACTCTCAAAAAAAAATAAACAAAACAAAAAAGCAAACAAACGAAAAGAAGAAACCTCCCATGGTTTCTAGTCAAAGAAGAGAAAAGCCTAAAATCATAAATAGCCGTAAGAACAATTGGGCCCTGCCAATGTGCCTGA